GCCCTTGTATATCAAGTTGTTTTTATGGATCAGCATCATGTTTGTCCTTCGCTCTGTTTCAGACTGATCTTGCCTGTTGAATTTATCAATCTGATGGTGGTCCACGGTGGAGGTCTGATCTTAGACCTCACAGCTGGTTATCTGCTCTTCTTTGATGCCACACGTCCTGTCGCCTTCTTCTTTGTCAGCTATTTCCACTGCATGAATTCCCAGCTCTTTAGCATTGGTAAAAATGACTCAAAAAACTAGTTCGCCCAAACGATTTGCAATTATGAAGACGTCATTATATTTATTTTTATTCTCAGGAATGTTTTCGTACACCATGTTGGCCACTAGCCCTCTCTTCTGCTACCCTGACTGGCCCAGATGCTTTTTCGGCCGTTTCCCAGAGTTCCTCCAGCCCATACTGCCCTTCATCTCTCCTCCCCCGATTCCCAGCTCCTCCTGCGTCTACCCAAATCCACCCAGTGGGTCTGGAGAACAACAAGAAGAGGCTCACGCTGCTCCCAAACCCACCACACCGAGTTTCAAGCACAAGTTTAGAGCCATCTTCACCATCCTTTACATCATGGAGCAGTTCTTCTTGCCGTACTCGCACTTCATCACGCAGGTGATTTAAAACTACGCTACGCTGTTTGAGTGCAGTTTGATCTAGAACCTTCAGTCGATCAGAGGATACAGCGCTTTCACAATCAATGTAAACACAGACAGTGAGCCAAAGCAAATATCTGCACAAACCTTTGGAAGAGGAATCACAGGCCTTGCTGGGAAGAGATTATACACTATGGGTAGATATTTGAAGAAATTTATCAGTCTAAGAAATAAACGCAGGCATGCAACTCATCCTGCACTGTTTGTGCTAAAAACATGAATACCTCTGATTGTGAACCTTGTTACAATTGCCATTACATTTTTATTTAACAAGCAGACTTATGATTAGCATATGGTATACAATAACACTGATGAAAAAATGTAATTCAATTAAAGTTAAATTAATATTAATAATTAAATAATGATAATATTAATAATAATAAAAATATCTATTATTATTATTATAGTATTTAACTTGATAATTTGTGACCCTGGACCACAAAACCAGTCTTAAGTCGCTGGGGTATATTTGTAGCAATAGCCAAAAATTCATATCCTAACAAACCATACATCAATGGAAAGCTTATTTATTCAGCTTTCAGATGATATATGAATCTCAATTTCGAAAAATGTACCCTTATGACTGGTTTTGTGGTCCCGGGTCACATTTTACTTTTATTATTCATACATTTTAACGTTATTAATATTATTATTTTTATTACTTATTTAACTTAATAATAATAAAATGTAACTTTTATTTTATTTATTATCATTATTATTTAATTATTGTTATTTAATAATGCATTTTAACAATGAAACATTTTATTATTATCATTATTATTATGCAAAATATAAGAATTTCAAATGTGAACAATGTAATCTCTTGGCTATACAGGGCTATAATAACTGGACAAATGGACTGTATGGCTACTCATGGGACATGATGGTTCACTCTCGCTCACATCAGCATGTCAAGATCACTTACACAGACGGCGTAACGGGGGATGTTGGATATCTGAACCCTGGAGTGAGTCACTTGATAAACAGAAGTCAGTTTTATAGGAACGTTCCAGGTTAAATACAGGTTAAGCTCTATTGGTAATCATTTCGACACATACCTAAGTTTATGGAAGATTTTTTTGTGCGTGTATTTAAATTTTTCATTAACTTGCAATAGAAGTATATGGAGAAAAATTAATTTTTCATGATAATCAACAGTGTGTTACAGATACCGTCAATAGAGCTTAACTTGTTTTTGGCCCACAATATTTCTTATTTTAGCACTACACCAACTGGAAGTAACTGAAATGGTACCACAACATTATAATGCTCTTTTATACTGTATATGCTTACCTTCTTATTTTAACATGCAGGTTTTCACTCAGAGCCGGAGATGGAAAGACCATGGAGACATGTTGAAGCAGTATGCCACCTGCCTCAGTGAAAATCTGCCACGGTTCAATATCTCAGACCCTGAGATCTACTTTGACATTTGGGTGTCCATTAACGACCGCTTCCAACAGAGGTTAATAATGCTTACTCTGTGCTCAGTTGACACTGCTAGATGATGCAAAATGATAGTCCAAGGCTTCTGACGTCAAAGTTGGCTCTCCTTCTGTCCCGTAGGATATTTGACCCACGTGTTGATATCGTAAAAGCCGATTGGTCACCATTCCAGACCAATTCATGGCTCATGCCGCTGCTCGTTGACCTCTCACCGTGGAGGACTAAATTTGAGGCGATTGAAGGGACTTTAGACAACCAGACTGAGGTGGTCTTCATCGCTGACTTCCCAGGTCTGTGTGTTTTTTTTTTTTACTAGAATATCTTTGCTTATTTACCCACACAGATGCCCAGTTATTATTGATGTTGTGACAACCACAGGCCTTTATCTTGAAAACTATGTGAGTGAGGATCTTGGGAACACCAGCGTTCAAGTCCTGGTGGGTCAGGTGAATGTTGAAATGATGGACGAGAAGAAGAACTACAGTTTACAACCTGGAGAAAAGATGCAGGTACAATTCTTAGTTCCTCTTTAATGAACTCTGATTCATTCTACTGTTAACGTTTTCAATTCTTACTATTATTAATGTTTGTGTCTATGTTCATTTGATGTGCTAAAAGTCATTGTGTATTAAGATTCCAGCTGGTGCGTACCATAAGGTGTACACGGTGTCTGAAGGGCCGTCGTGTTACATGTACATCTATGTAAATACTACTGAGGCAGAGCTTCAGAAGAACTTCACAAAGCTTTCTGAACTTCAAGAGAAAGTGCGCAATGGAACAGGTAACTCTAAAATTTAATTCAGATTAAGTCAGTGTAAAAACGTATGCCACAAAACAAATGGCAACAGCATCTTTATTTCAAATATGAACAGAACTTTACTTGTAAATATACAGTACTTGTCTATTTTTAAACTCTCCCTGGCCTTCGTAGTAAAACGTCCGTGAACATCAATGCGAGTAAAAGAAGCTACGTTATAATTTTTTTTGTGTAGCTCCCCTGAAGAAACGGATGTAACAACTTGTTGCTGTTTCTAGAAACCGAGCCTTTGCCTCCTGAGCTGCAGCCGCTCATCACCGGTCTCGACGACCAGGACTCAGACAACAGCGTGATCGACCCTGTAGTACGACTCTTCCTGAAACGACAGGAGCGCATGCAGGAGGTGAAAAAGCGACGAGAAGCTTCTTTGATCGAAAGGTTCCAGAGATTTGCCTCAAAGAAATACTACTCGATTAGACGAGGGTACGTTAAGGCATTAACTCATATATTATATGCCTACAATCATGACAGTAGTGAATAGTGTTATTTTGGTTTATCTTTTGAGGTTCCTGATGACAGCCATTGCTTTGCGTAACCTGGCCGTGGGTTTGCCACCGCTAGAGCAACTGACAAGAGAAGTGGCCTACGCCAACATGAAGGAGCCCGAGACCGAGACCAGTCAGGATGAGCATCTTAAAGATGAGGTGGGCCACGGAGAGCTGTGAGAAAAGACACTGTTACTGAGCTGCTGGAGGATCCTGCAGCAAATCAACAAATGCTTTAGTAGGTCAGTATTTTTGGAGCATTTTGGAGCAAATTTGGAGTTTATGGTTTACAGTTTGGTCATTATTTTATTATTTCCTGAAACCCAAAAATGAGTCTTCTTTTACACACCCTCATGTTGTTCTAAACCCATGTCTGTTAAGATTTTTATACTGTAGTCGTAAAGACTATTTTATGGTACCATTTTCAATTTGTTTGTTTTTGAGTTTGAAAATGTCCATTTTGTTGAACTTCCTTTGTATGGAAAAGAGCAGCGGGAACATTCTTCAAAATTTCTTCTTTTGTGTTCCACTAATATACAGTTTATACAGGTTTGGAACAACATGAAAGTAAAATGAGTTGGTTTATATTTAGGATTTAGAATTTTTGGGTGAACTATCCCTTTAAATATGAAAGCCTATTTCTCCCACAGAATAGAAATGCATCTGCATACGCATCAGGTCAGGTGTCCAAAAATGCGAGAAAAAATTGTGAGATAAAAAGTTACAATTACATTTTGTATATTTTTATTCTGTGGCAGAAATAAGCTGCCATTTTTTTGCTCCCTGGTTACTGAAATTCAATTAATGACACTAATAATGTACTTGCCTTTTTTTTATTTTTCGAGAGTAGAGTCTAGTATTTGCTAGTTTAAAAGCTATTACTGTTATTTTTTCAGTATTAAATCTAATAATTAAATCTAGTATTTAAATCTTATTAAACTAAACAAAACTTGGCTTTTTGTGGGAATGTTTGAAGCGTACCGTTTTTTTTTTTGTTTAGTTTTTATAAAACCAAATATAAGCATTTATCTTACAATTCACCCTTTAGTGCTCAAGGTATCCTGCCATGCATTGTCTCATCACAGGATTTATTCATACAAACTAAACAAAACTTGGCTTTTTGTGGGAATGTTTGAAGCGTACCATTTTTTTTTTTTAGTTTTTATAAAACCAAATATAAGCATTTATCTTACAATTCACCCTTTAGTGCTCAAGGTATCCTGCCATGCATTGTCTCATCACAGGATTTATTCATACATTAAATCAAATGCAGTTAGAAACTATTTTCAACTCATCTTTCAATTGGACAAATCTTGTCTATAAAATGTGCCAAACATGGACGGGTCCTGAATTGTCTTTAATGCATAAGTTTCATTATGCAAAATGCTGCATTATTAAATGCTGGGTTTTATGCAACATAAACCTTCTCACAGCTTTTATATGCACACTATGACTGTGAGATTAAGAATGCAAGAAAGCTGTTCCGATGGGATTTGTCTGTACGTGTCAGTTTTTGAATAAATAAAGTGCAACACTATCCCAATGTGTCATTATAACATGATTGAAAGATGACAAAGTATTTAATTAATGAATGAATTAGATGTTTTATTGCTGTCAGGTTTAAAATGATATTCATTTACAACTGATCTTTTCACCCTTGTTAAAGTGCATGAGAATCCAAAGTGTTAACAATAACACACACATAATGGAATGGCACATTGTCCATATGCAGAATTAAGACATCTAAATGAAAACAATTCTAGAACTGCTTGAAATGGTACATAACAAATCAGCTTTATAACATTTAAACAGGTTAAACTTCTCAAACTGCATTATCTTCTTTACTACTTCCAACAGTAGTGAAAAACTGTTACAACTAGTGTTCATGCACTCTTACTACTCAGTGAAGTTTCTAAAAATATTAGACTAACATTAGTCCAGACTAAACTGCATTTTCAAAGAAGAGAATCCACTGAAAATGGTTTACTTAGCTGCAGGTTAACAGTGGAGAATGCAAGTTTTTTACTTTAAACAACAGCTCTTTTTCACAGTTTTGGGCTGTAACATGACGTAAGACTGGCTTTACACTGGTTTGATTCATTCAGTACTTCCCTTTTTGCTAATTTGGCTGGTAATCAATAATTGCCACATCAAAAACAAAGAATGAAAATAACGTTCATACAATAACATAACAATGAAAAGGTTCAGTTCAAGGCTTTTCCAACATCTTATTTCACAAGTCACCTCACTTGGAGAAACACACAGTCAGTGGATCAGACATCCTTCTGATCTCACATATGACATGAGGACAGATGTGCAAATACATGCGGAGGTACTTAAACGAAACCTTGATATGAATGTTTACTTTGTGACCAACTAAAATCTCAATTCCTGCAAATACAGGACACAAAAACAAATTAGTGCTGATGCCAAACTACACTCTTAAGGCTGTAATGACGGAGTCTGTTAAACTGGTGCTGTGTGATTTAGTGTTGGTAATACCGATCCCTTTTTATCCGTGAACTTGATGTGACGTCATCCGTAGTGCTGAGATCTACCTCGGCTGGAAGTCTGGGTAAAATATTCCACGAATCACACCTTCAATAACCATATTTGAAAATGTATCTGCAAACAATAGAGAAACATTCATTAAATGTATTTGTAAAACAATACATAGGCATATGCAGTGTTTATTACAGGATTTTGTTCTTGCAGCATATCTTTTAGTAAAATACCATTTTATTACAACGAGACTGAAACTTTAACTACACACAGAGACAAATGAGCAGTAATTAGACTGATTGAAGTTCTCAGCTCAGTTCAATTCAGTATATGTGACCCTGGAGCACAAAACCAGTCTTAAGTCGCTGGGGTATATTTGTAGCAATAGCCAACAATACATTGTATGGGTCAAAATTATTGATTTTTCTTTTATGCCAAAAATCATTAGGATATTAAGTAAAGATCATGTTCCATGAAGATATTTAGTAAATTTCCTACTGTAAATATATCAAAACTTAATTTTTGATTAGTAATATGCATTGCTAAGAACTTCATTTGGAAACTTTAAAGGTGATTTTCTCAATATTTTGATTTGTTTGCACCCTCAGATTCCAGATATTCAAATAGTTGTATCTCGGCCAAATATTGTCCTATCCTAACAAACCATACAACAATGAAAAGCTTATTTATTCAGCTTTCAGATGATGCATAAATCTCAATTTCGAAAAATTGATCCTTATTACTGGTTTTGTGGTCCAGGGTCACATATATTAATATATAAGTAATATTCATTATATACACACACACAAGCATAATTGTTATAAAAAATGTTTGTTTTTCTGTAACTTCATGAAGCTTAATGCATTAGGTATTATGAACTATATTTAACATCTATATTAATTTTTATTTCTGTGTAACAAAACAATTTTATTCAACAGGCATATTTAAAAATATTGTTATTTATCAGTCACTCATGAACAGGAGAAGAAACCATGAATGCATATGAATTCATCTCTACCTTAAAAAAAAAAAAAGAAGAACGAAAGTAACATGAAGGACAGACATGTACCATTGGTGGTAGGCAGCAGATAGGGATCCCTCAGGAAGAGAAGTGCTGGTTGATGTGTCAGTTTACTGCAGGGTTTGGAGAGGAAAGGTCAGAGAGAGAACTCAGTGACTCACAAACTAGTTGGGTTTGTGATGACAGTGATAAAACACAAAGCTGACTGTGAAATTTATCACGCGGGTGGTGTCATTTCCCAGCTAGCGCAATAACTTCTCAAAAGCACTTCTATAAGAGCACTTGACATCAAAATGGCTCTGAAATGGTTTGGTTTTTACAGAAAAACCTGTTGAAGTGCTGTGCTTTTTTCTTTTTACTGTAATAAGTAGCCAACATACCTTGATTCCTCGGATTCAGTTTCAAATGATCTAAACAGAAAAAAACAATCACGTCAACACACAAGTACGCTGTACAATGATCTTTTTTGAATTACTATATTGAAATGTCTTTGTTTGTACAAAAGTCTGCTTTCTAAGGCCTTTACTTCAGACAAAATTACACACTATAAAGCCTTACCCGCAACTCTCAGTTTTCGGCAGTGACGGGAAATGGCGGATATTGAGGAAATCCAAGAATATCTTTGGAAGAACCTCATTTTCCATGATTATAGTCTACACACACACACACACACACACACACACACAAAGACAATCAAATGGTTACTCCAGAAAACAGGAAAGGGCTGTTTTATATCGTGTCGTTTCATTTGTTAAGCATCAATTCAATCAATACCTGGAGATAGAGCTCGAGTCCCTGTCTCCTCTGATCAAGAACCTTGGGCACCCAGTTCCTCACATGCTTCGAAGGGATTTCTGGAGGTTTAATTATCTTTTTAAGCTACAAAGAATACATGATAGAAAAAAACATGTTACACAAACTGGCCAGAAGCTGTCTCTAGAGTTTACACACAAGGGCAGTCATGTTCTTCACGTGGAATTTCTGCATTTACCAAAAACTGTAAATTGCGTAAATGTCCACTTTATCTGACACTTGACGTCAAATATCCTCTTTCCTCAATGTACACTATCATATACGACGTACTGTAGCAGCACACAATAAACAGTCAACTACATTATTCTTTCTGGGCACATACAGTGAAAAAGTACAAACTAATACGATTGTGCTGATGTTAAGCTGAAAACATGCAGATTTATTCAAAGGAACTACTTGAGAAACAGTGCTTTTTCACAAGTACATGCTGTTGCTCACATTCCAGAATTCCTCTGTGAAATATAAACAGTAATTATATATATATCAGCACTCCTTTGGAAAGACCCCGGGGCCACTTTAAGAAAACTATTAGTTAATGCATTTAATGTCTTTGGTTTTATGAATGAACAATGAACAAACATCTTTACAGCATATAATTTAGGACATACATATATATATACATTTACATTTAGTCATTTAGCAGACGCTTTTATCCAAAGCGACTTACAAATGAGGAGGACAATGTAAGCAATCAAAATCAACAAAAGAGCAATGATATACAAGTGCTATAATAAGTCAGAAGTGTAAACTGAAGTACTGGCAGATCTTTTCTTCCATATTGTGATAAGTTTTGTATATCTAATAAGGTTAAGGTAGTCCATTTTAAAATCTTTCATAAAATTTATCCCGTTAATTCTTCCATTTTTACATATTGTGACATTGATAAGACATGCTGTTTCTGCGATGTATTAGAAGAAACACCTGTCAATTTATTCTATAATTGTAAATAATGTAATGTGTTCTATAATCACAGACTTTTAAATCTTCACAAGAGTTTATTTAAAGATGTGACTAGATTTAGATTTTATGCTTTTCTTCTATGTGCATTTTGTTCCAATGTGTTTTCCTATGTAGTTCTTTCAAATCTGAGATATGATTGTGATTTCCCTGTTCATTTATGTGATTCTATGCTCTGCAAATAAATAAATATTATAAAAATGTATATATAATATTTTTATTAAATATATAAAAATGTGTGTGGTCATTTTTTTTTTTTATTAAATGGATGAATCAATCAAATTAAGATAAATAAAATGAATACAGAAAATAGATGGGGTGAATTTAGTTTAATAATTTAATAAAGTTAATGTTAAAAATTGATTAAAATATATATAAATATACAAATTAACATGTATTGCATTTAGCAGATGTTTTTATCCAAGGCAACTTATAGAGTTATAACATAAAATGAATAAATGCTTCAAGTATTGTCCATCAGTAGTTAGCTGTTTTATTAACTAATGTTAATGTATATAAACTTGTCATAAAGTGTTACCGGAAAGCTTTCAGAAAAAAAATAAATAAAATATCAGTGGTTGAGCCCTAGATACTCACCCTAGATTTACCAGCAAATATATTATACCATAACCATTGTATGCATGCTTACCATTTTATGTAGAGTGTAAAATTCACTGTATCGTTTCTCAACAGTATGCTGTCTACCACACATGAGCACCTCGATCTTAAAAACCTGTGAGAAAAAATGCGTTTCCATTATTTCTCTTACATATAATGCAGTGAACTGGAATGACTCGAATGCATCACAATGAATTCACTTTAAATACAGACTATATCAAAACCTAGACATCATTTTGGGCAGCATAGGCGGGGCTGGAGAGTGACAATCCAGTTCAAACGCGCCCAACATGCTCTGAAATGGTCAGTTCACTAGGTTTTGGGACACTGCCAAAACGTCTACGCCTTAAAATCGACATTAATTGTAATTCACTGAGGTGAAGCGTAATGTTTGCTGTCGTACCTTTTAATGGCAGCGTGTTTACGACCGCTGGCTCGATCTGAAAACATATTTAACTCACCGTGTAGCCCTTCTCCACGTTACTGCCCTCCGATCGAAAAGACGGGATCGACACTTCTATAGGATGCATGATCCGGCAAGATATATCCGTTATTATGTGGCACGACAGCTCAAATAACTCTACGAGATTTCTGGTGGGTCCTTCACTGTAATTTTAATGGTTGTCAAGTTCACTGAGCGCCTGACATGAGAAGAATTGAAAATATTCCACGCGCTTCTTCTCCATCGCACGCAGGAGGTTCAGCGGTGAGTCTGCGGATGCAATGCTGCCCCCTGTCGTTCTGACCGGGAAATACACCATTAGCCCGGCGCCCCAGAACATAAACATTTGGCTAGTTTTCTTCAAAATCTAATGTAGACATTCTTCTTCTTCTTCTTTTTTGTTCAATGGCCGTTCACTCCTTAGGAGTATTACCGCCACCTACTGTATATCTTGCGCACATGAGTGATGAATATGTACTGAAGGAGAAAAAAAAAATAAATGTGTAATGCCCCACCCACCCCAGAGGATCAGAGCCCAAGCTTCAGCTGGCGCTGCGTGTTCAGCTCCTCCAGCTTCCACACTGTGGTACACATTCTACATTATTACTTTTGCATATTCTCTTATGTGCTATGCCTTCTTTAATAAATGTTGCACACCCTCCACCTCTTCCAGTTTCTCTATCTTTCCTCTCTACTACATATCCATTGATCTTAAAATCCAAGGAGCTATTTAACCATGTCTCCTGAATACACATGATGTCTGGTGCCTTTTCCATTTCTGTGATATGTTTTTTAAATTCTTGCCCATTTGCTATTAAGCTCCTGGCATTCCAATGTAGTAGTAGGAAAGATATTATACAACTATGGTTGTTCTGACTGCTTAGCAAAAGTAATTATCACTTTGATTTCGCTTTCTTCAACCTCTTTATCAGCTTCAATTCTCATATGTCTTTATTAATTGTTTGCTCACAATCAGATCCATCACCCATGCTACTCTTTTTTTTCCTTTTACTGTATCTTACTTCCTGAAAATCCATGTCTTGATCATTGTCGCCATCCGAAGTATCTCCCCACGCCAACGACGCCATTCAACCGCCGCTCGTGCGTCACTTCCGCCTCCATGTGCGCAATCTGCGCTGATTTGCGCTTTCCTGATCGACGCTCAGAAGCGCTCGCGGCTAAAGTGTGAAACGCCGAAATGAAACAAAAAGTGCATCACTTGGTGCCCTAATGTAGACATTGATGTTACTATGTGTGATATATTTTGTTATTTTTCACATTGTAAACATAACATAGAATATATAGGAAATGTATTTATTTTATTGGGAAAATATTATATTCATAAATGTAAATTTTCTTCAACATCTCCAAAATTACATAATTTTCTTTGTGACTTTAACTACTTAATTATAACACAAAAAAATATTAATACCAAAAAAAAGTGTCAAATTTGTGAAATTGTATAATGATCTGCTGAATGGTACATCATTTTGATTTACTACCTCTTTATTTTTTGTTTTATCTATGTATTCTTATTTATTTTTATTTTTTTTCTTCTTTGTCTTCCTATATAATTTCTGTATTCATAATGTCATCCAATATATTCCTCTTTATGTATTCTTATTTATTTTTATTTTTTTTCTTCTTTGTCTTCCTATATAATTTCTGTATTCATAATGTCATCCAATGTTACATTAATTGTTGAAGTTAAGTGTTTATACTTGCAATAAAAAAAAAAAACATTTGGGTAGTTGACAAATATGTCGTAAAAATGCTTCATACATATATTTATGTAGTGTGAACTCTGATGTTTGAGAAAATATAAGGGGTCACTAACTTTTTCAATTTTTTCACTCTGTTTTTTTTTTTTTTTTTTTTACATTTTTACTGAACTACCATAAATGTGTGTCCTATGGTGTGACATAGCAAAAATTAAGAAAAACTCTTGATAATATACAAATAACATGAGAGATTTATCTTTATTTTTAGACACTTATTTTCATATATTGTTATTTATTTAATATGAAATTATGAATAACATTATTTTCCCCCATGACTTTTTCAAGAAGAACTTTGACAACGAGACAAACTTTGCTGTCATCCGTTTAAAATTGCAGAAGATTATACCATTTTAAGATGAGAGTTGATTTTATCTCCCTACTGCAATACTCAACTGTTCTTTAAGATATTTGGAGATAAAAAACAAACAGATCTGCGGTTCTTTTATGTGTGTCATATCATAGGACTTTACGTCACACCAAAGGACAGAAATGGTAGTTACTGCTTTAAAGAGAAAGTGAAATGCATTACATTAAAGTATTTTTATTTAACTTTGAATATGTCAAAGAAGAAAGTATCATTTTGATACAAACAATATCAACATGTTTTTACAGAATTCAGTCACTTAGTCGATCAGTATGTTACTGAAACTCTTCTAGAGCCAGCGTTCATTTTCTCTCTATACTTCCATGTCCTCTCTCTCACTCATTTCTCTCCCTCAATTCTTTCTGTCTCAAAAACAAAGTATCAAATGTATACTTATTTTTATGTCACTTTATAATAGTACAAGTGTTTTGCAAAAACATCAGAAAATATTTTAATGTAATTATTGCGTTTAAGTTTTTAATTAAAATATATAATTTAGGGGTGTCGCACCAAAGGACAACAAAACGTAACTTTTATAGTGGTTCCAAAAAAGTTAAATATATGAACAATTCTGAGACAAAAACTTATTATGTGTACGTGTCATGGGCTTCAGTAACATGGCCTTGAATGGGGTCCTTCAACTAATTAAAGATGTCTGTGGAATTGCCCGGTTTAAAATCAGGATATGGTGTCACACCAGAGGACATGGTTTTCAGTGACAAAATGTATCAAGTTCCTACGCTTTTAGAAATATATGGATGAAAAAAATGATTGCCATTTACTGAAATAGACACTTGTAAAATTATGTATTTATTAACATTTCTATGCCTTTCTTTTTAATTTATAAAAGTTGTAATTTATTGAATCATGCTTGAGACAGTCACACCATAGGACAATTTTGAGATTTGTAGATGAGTTTGTTTCTTGATCGGAACAGATATGGATAAATGTAGCATTACATCACTTGATCATCAATGGATCCTCTGCAGTGAATGGGTGCCATCAGAATGAGAGTCCAAACAGCTGATAAAAGCATCACAATAACCCACAAGTAATCCACATGACTCCAGTCCATCAATTAACATTTTGTTAAAGGAAAAGCTGTGTGTTTGTAAGAAACAAATCCATCATTAAAAAGTTTTTAACTTCAAGCCGTTGCTTCCAGCTAAAAATATGAGTGCTAGTGAAACTGCAGAGGATCCATTGATGAGCAAGTGATGCAATGATAAATGTTTCCAAATCAGTTTCCATGAAGAAACAAACTCATATAGGAGGTTATGAGGGCGAGTACATTTTCAGCAAATTTTCATTACTGTATGAACTATTCTTTTAAATGAGTGAAGACAGCTGCTGTTAGATCTATGCAATAAATAATCAACATTATTATAGTTAAAGGGATAGTTCACCCAAAAATGAAAATTCTGTCATCATTTACTCACCCTCATGTCGTTCCAAACCTGTATGTTGAACACAAAAGAAGATATTTTGAAGATTGCTACTATCCCTTTAAGTGCACCCCAATGTTTGGTTACGATTTGCAAAAACTGCAAAAAACACAAACAAAAAAAAACAACAGCACATATAATATTTATTTTGAGCAAACACCATTTTCTGAAAGTCATTTAATGAGGCTGAGTGTGAAGTTATTTATTCAAGTAGTTTTCATTTCATATATAAAAGGTGTTGCAGTAATATGAGCATCTGTATATAAATATCTACTTAGAATACACAACTAAAGCATCACTAGCACACTAAAGCATGTTTAAGGTAAAAACCCCAGTGTGGATCAATATCTTAAGGTTTAATGTTTATAATTTATCAGTCTGAGAGAATGATGCTGAATGATTTGGGGAATGTGTGGTATCTCTGCAAACGGTTTCATCCAAATTTCTATAGGAATCCAGCACAATATGACCCTGGACTCTTTGTTTTTCTTTTTTCATTTTTGCTTAGTAATTTCCTAGCAAAAAAAAGAATAATGCAATTCACTGTAAAACTGGATTTATGCCTCAGGTTTTTATATTCTGTGGCATAGTCAGCACTAAAATGCCCTGCTGATTATTGGCTCTCACAAACAGGAAAGTGGCCCATGATCGGCGTCCATTCATCTGTTCACTTTGTCGCAGGTTTTTTATCATCAAAAACTTCATTTCTGATTATCTTTCCCTATTCCTTAGGATCCTTTAGTAGATTCTTAATACCTGAAATAAACATAGCATATTAATGTCTTTGGTTTAACTAGTCAAACGAAATATAGTATACAATATAAAATAAATGAAGTATGCTCACTGTGAAATATGACATCCTGAAACATAAACATAGTTTCCGGTGTAACGTACATCACAGCGCACATTATTGTTACTGTAGTCCGACTCTGGCACCTGGTAACTGGGATTTATACTAACCTAAACCAGAAAAAGAAAAACAGGCTGGAAGTCAGGAACATGATATTGGATATTTCTTGAATGCAATAACTTTTGATTAAGGCCAAAAACCTTGAGGATGTAGTTTCCAGGTTTCACATCAGTAATATCTATCCACTGGCAGTCGATGTCGGCATTGTAAGTGTCGTAACACCCTGGACTCAGGCCCTGGAAATACAACAACAGTTTACTTTCAGCACATGCACATGTAAAATGGTCACGGTACCTTGAAGTACAATGTAAACCAAGGTATATACAGCATCATGGTATTTTTCAAAGTACCATGGTATTACCGTATTATACAATCATGGTACTGCCATGGTAAGTATAGGGTTAAACATGTTTCATTAAGGTTAATTATTTCTTGCAATATCTTTGATTCATAATATTGACAGTCGATTGCTTATAACAGATACATTGGCTGTGTCCTAAAACCTAGTGAGCTGCCTACATAGGTAGCATTTTAATGTATCAGGTGTGTTCACAATGTAATTAAACATTGGCATTTATTCTTGACAAACATGTTGATCTCAGAATGCACTGTGAATCCATCCAAGATGGTGGACAATGCAGGAGAAATATGAATATATCTACATATCAGTATTTTCTTAAGAAAATTTGAATATTTTATCCAATATTTGTATTTTTTAAACATATTTCTTATGTTAGGGTGACCATACGTGCCATTTTCCCAGGACGCGTCTAGGTTTTGGCTTTGTTTGCGTGTGCAGACCGATCGGTGTATGACATCAAAATACCATACAGACGGTTCCTTATGCTTTCAAAATGCTCTCGAGGTATTCTGATGTCATACACCGATCGGTCTGCACACGCAAACAAAGCCAAAACCTAGATATTTTAGGCAATATAGAAATCCTGGCCAGGACACGTCCTGGGAAAATGGCACGTATGGTCACCCTATCTTATGTTTATCTGAGTAGTGTTGTTAGCTTAGTAACATGCTAACTTCAAAATACAAATCCATTGTGATAAGTCTTTAGTGAGTTATTAATGAGAAGCGCTATTGTTATAATGTACAAAGTTCCAAAGCTGCTACGTGTGAGCTTTCATTTCAGTTGTGTAGTTTAATGTATTTCTTAAGTTTACTGGGGTAGTATTGTTAGCTTAGCAACATGCTAACCTCAAAGGCGTTTGAAATCCATTGTGAATTGAGTCTTCTGTGAATTTTTCATAAAAATCACTATATTTATAATGTACAAAGTTACAAATGCATCACATATGAGGCTTCATTTAAATTATAGTTTAATGTATTTATTATGTTTACTGTAGTAGTATGTCTATATAGTAGCTAAGCAACATGCTAACCTTAAAGGCTTTTGAAATCCATTGTGAATTGAGCCTTCTGTGTGTTTTTCATAAAAAGCTAATTTTTTTATAATGTACAAAATTAGTCACATATGAGGCTTAATTTCAGTTATGTAAATTAATCTATTTCTTATGTGAAGTATTGTTGTTAGCTTAGCAACACGCTAACCTCAAAGTCTTTAGAAATCAATGGTGAATTGTGTCTTCTGTGTGTTTTTCATGAGAAGCGCTATTTTTATAACATACAATGTTCCAAACCAGTCACAGGTTTCCTATCAGTTATGTAGTTTTGGAGTCAGAAATATATTCATAAATAATAAATGAGAGTGACCTGAGTGTGGGAGGTGCAGGCGTATCGTCGGTAGTAGCCGTAGTCACAGGACGTGTCTTCCAGACAGAAACTGGCCTTGTGTCCCTCTGCTACTCTTCTCTGAGAACTGGCTTCCAGCAGGTCATAATGACTGAACTCGTCCATGCTGTGGTAGTGCCTAGAAACAGCAAAGTAAATCAGATCATGCATCACTTTCAACTGGTGCTTTTCAAATTTTGCCTGCCTCTGGGAATCTCATTGCTAGCTGGGTTAGTTAATAGGATTTAGAATGCCTGCCATTCATTTTCAACGCTTTAATCCAATTAATGAATTTCCTAAACACTGGGACATATATCAAATCTTCAGCAAGAAACGAATGTCGTGCAGAGCCTTTCCAAAAAAACTCCATGGCCAATGTGTGAGCTGGACGCAAACCTCTGCTTATTTCACCTCAAATAGTCTCACTGGTGCCAGTGAAATTGTGAAAGAGACAGTTCAACCAAAAATTTCAATTCTCTCGTAATTTACTTCACTTTTTCATGTTGTAACCACAAAAGGAGACCATTTTAAGACCGTTTTTCATGCATTTTTTCCCAATTACAATGAATGGGGAATTTCGAGCTTCAAAATGTAGCAAAAACCACCATAAAAGCATCATAAAAGTATAATTTATATGATTTGTGTGCTATATTTCAAATCTTCTGAAGCCAGACAATAGCTTTGTATAAGAAACAGACTGAAATTTCATCTTCTCCTCCTAGTAAGCTTTTAATTTGAGAATCACTGTTACTGGAGTTATTGAGTTGAACCAGATCAGTCTGACTTGTGAAGAAATAATTCATATTTGTAAATAAATCTTTCAGACGGTTTCTGTGAACTGGATTATTCAGACCATTTTTGAGAACTGAATCAACAATTCATTGAATTATCAAGATCCAACTCAAAAGAACAATTCATTTACAAATCCGACATTGCTACACTAGAAACATTGCACACAAGTCATGCTGACTACTTTTATGAAGTTTTGCATTTTTGAAGCTTAAAAGGTTCAGTCTCTATTCATTGCAATTATATGGGAAAAAGCGACTAGTACATTCTTTAAAATTTCTCCTTTTATGTTCTACAGAATAAACAAAGTCATTTATGTTTGGAATGAGTAAATGACACGTAAAAGTAATTTCTGGGTGAAATATTCCTTAAAACCAAGTGGAAAAACTGTAAAAAAAAAAATCCCAAAATCACTTCATATTATCTTATTGGACGGTTCAGTAGCCCCAGCTTAAAAAAATTGTGTAGTATAAAAAATAAATAACAAACAGAAGACGTTCATATTATGGCACGTCAAATAAATGCAGGTCAGCACACAGACCTTACGCCTCATTTATGCATAAGACCTAAAGTCATTGTATACACTGGAGCTTGTCCAAATGTAAGCCGTAGTTGATCGTGAGGCACGGCTTTACTTCGGGACAAAATTATGCAGTGAGCCATTACTGAGTCAACTGAAATATAAGCAGCAATAGTGGGCCTCTGCAAAGTGTTTTCATTTAGACAAGAACACAGACCCTTTTCCTTGTAAAAAACAGCACCACCAGCACAAGATTCAGTCAGATACAACGCTCAAACCATGATAAAGCTTCACAATCTTGCTTTTTTTTGCCTAAGGAATTCAGTTCATTGCATCATATCTGCTCCCTTTAGGGTTCTTAATAGTGGTCTGTGATGCATTACTAAACATGCAGCATCAGAAAATGATGCAAATGCCTGGACCTGTTAGATTCGGACTTACTGATGGCAGCTGTGCCATTCCCAGCTGTAGCGCGGCCTGCTGGGAAGAAAGTCGGAGGTACCTTGGTTCTTGACTCGCTGCGGGAACCTCAGCAACATGCGCGTGTCGTAGTCTCTCACGCTGGATCTGTATGCAGTGCTGCTCAACAAAAACAGCCCAATGGTTACAAAATATCAGACATTCCTTGAGTTTCTCATATTGTCCTAACAGCTTTCAGAATGTGTCTCTTGGCCCCGTGGCCACATTTCAAGCGCACATGGAACAACTACAGATGCACGTTTCCAAAGAAACGGGACTGGACTATTCTTGTATGCCCCAGTAATGTGTCTCACAGTCATGCATGTGATTAATCTCTCCATGCAAACAGCTTTATGTGAAATCTGTTTGTAGAGTTTCTCACTTCCCATCATGGCAGGACTTTTCGTTTAATTCGTTCCCCTCTCACAGGGCTGGTTTGAGTTATAGGATGTTCCTACCACATGGGATTTAAATAGGTTCTCATGACTCATCTGTTACACTTGGAGGAATGTGAGAGTGCTAACTCTCCTTCTCTGGTTGCAACACTGCACCAAAAATCTTGATTGCGTTCTTCTGTTTTATATCAACAATAATACCTCGCCAAGCAGTTTTCCTCAGCGGCGCATCTGAGATTGTACATTGGAACGCTCTGCACATAGGCGGACGCTTGGATGTAGTATGGGTCTCCAACAAGATCAGGCAAACCTATGAAACACTGAAGTGTTGTATTAAAAAAAATACAAGAAATTGCACAGAATTAAAATTAAAATACAAGAAAGTTATTTAAAACAGCTTAAACTAGCCTGACCACCTGCCAAGTGACAAAAACCCTTCGAAAAACCATTAGACCACCCTGAGCAGCAAACTACCTTAGTCGGTTTTTTTTCCTGCAAGGATGCCATTATTGTAAACTAACAGTTTCAATTAAATTAAACACATGTAAGTATGCAATTAAAATACAAGAGGAGGATCCGATGGCGTCTTGCTCTTTTTTTTTACTTTAGAATTTTTCATACAGTGGGTACGGAAAGTATTCAGACCCCCTTAAATTTTTCACTCTTTGTTATATTGCAGCCATGTGGTATAGTTTAACCAATACATGGTGGATAGATTATGCATTTTGCGAGTGGATGTGACGCAAATCATTTTAACCCATAGTAATTATGCAACGTAATTATCAAAGATATAATTAATAGTAATTTTTATTCATTTACTTGGGAAGTTGCCAAA